CCGTGGATAGCGAAGTTGGATGTGGTCGATATTTTAATGGAACTATATTGGATCTCACGATATATCAACTGGGGAGGGTATGAGTGCTTAGAAGAGAAATACTTGGGTCTGACGTGAAAAACCTCCGAGCAAATTCACCCGACTTGCTTCTGGTTCAAGCTGTATCACGGTTCTCAAAGATTTTTTATCACTCGATTGTTCAATTGTATATTGTAATTAGACCTAGTTCTGAATAATTCAGAGTGAGATGCTGACACTTACTCGTGATTAAATTATCTCTGCAACGTTATGTTAGTGCACAATAGGAAGTGGCAAGAGCCAAGAAGATTAGATCTATATTTAACATCTTTTGTATTCGTGTATGTATACGTAAGAATATGTGTTTTGATTACATATGTTGGACGAAGACGCAGGGATTCCTTTCATAGCGTTATACAATAATTTTTCAGGCTTATTTTTCTCTATTTATTTTTCAATTTAGGTTATTAATAATCTACTAGGTTGATCTTATTTTATTAAATATATTTTTTATCTTATTTAACTTTTTAATATATTATTACTATTTAGCATAAACTGATATTTAGCACCGATTACAACTTTTCATAATTACTGTTTTATAACCATAATTAAGAATGAAAATGAATTGTCTTATTATCCGATAATGATAAAAAGATGTTGAAATACAAGCTGTTGAGAGCATTTATGCCATATAAGTTTCCTTAGACGACACTGATTTAATCTTATCACCGTCACGTTATATAAGAAACGAACGTGATTACATTCTACTCCTTCGTACAGATTACTATAGTATACCTCTCTCTATTATCATACCACGATTCACTGACGTAAGCACTATTAATTCTATAATTAATAATGTGATAAAAAGAAAAACGATTCGGAATTTGGAATTTAATTATTCAGCTTCAGCTTCGGAATTTAATTATTTCAAGTATATACATTTCCAGCACGAAATAGTAGCATAAGTATCACGTTACAAACATTCCACGAATTTTCAGCTAACGACTGTATTGCCGTTTTAAACGCAACGATTCATTAAGATCGATGGCACCTCGTTTCTATGAAGCAGAATCCAACTTCACATCATCATTGGTAACAATTGGCAGCATGCCAAAGGGAAGCTATAAGAAACAAATGGCGCGCCTATTGCTTTAGTAATAACTGAATTACCTACGATGTATATATGAAAAAGAAAAACTAGCAATGAGAATGACCAGACTCTTTGCAAAATTACAAACAATTCTGCATAATTAAACACTAATAACTCACGCATTTCTGGAATAAAAATTGAAAATATTCTTGCACGATAATGAACCCTCTAATATCTCGTTTAAAATAGTTCCCATAAGAAATATTGCTATTAAGAAAAATTAGAAATCATAATAAATAAATTTTTTCAACGACGACCTACTAAAATTATTTTTAATATATAATTTAATACGCAATAATAGAACAATAAAATAAACTGTTTAAGCTATTTTGGACCAAAGTCTCATAATCCGTTGTGCTCCACTTAGCTTTTAGATAGAATTATGGAACTTATGGAGAATCTATTCGAATAACCGAAATCGTGAGTAACTTCGGCGAAAGATTTGCTCTCCGTAGAGGAAACTACTTGATACAAATAATCCTTTGCAAGGGAAAGCCCATTAAAGTGTCTTTGTATTTATGGAGCACTTGGAAGTACATTCTGTGATGAGTGAACAATTGTTAAGTGCTATCTACGAGGAAAATATCCAAACGTGGTATATCATAGTGGGTGAAAATATCGTATTACAAAAGTACGTTTCTAAATAAAGCTTCGGCACTGGAGAAAATAGCTGTACAAATTTATTGCATAATGTAATATCAGGTATAACGTATCATTCGATACCACCAGGTTCTGGCTGAGCAAAATGCAGCATTCAGAGAATTAACGAGAACAGAGCATACCACCTGCCTCGTATAAAATAATAACAGTAAACAGGCCTTTTATACGCAATAATAAAGAAATATGTGACAAATCGTTCGAAACTCGAGATAACGTGTATACAAACTGCTGTTTAGGTACGTAATCTCAAAAATGTCACCGAATATCAGAATATTAGTAAGATTTTAGTAAATATTGCAATATTACAATTTAATGGCGTCTTTGGCATTTTAAAACTTCAAATTTACGTTTTGTATCATAGTCAATGTCAATAACAAGTGAATAAGTCGATATTAATTTTGGCAAGGGCAACTACGGAACTTGGAGAACAGCAAAAATGGAGTCTAAAACCAGTTATTGCGAGTAGTAGTTCTAGCTCAGTAGTCTGAAGTTAAAAGTTGCATAACATTGGCTAAGAGAGCTACCTCATCAGAGTTCTCAAATATAAATCGCCTTGTAAATAATGCAATCATTCCAGGAATCCGCATTCCTATCACGTATTAGCTAAGCTTCGCGTTTCTCCGACCCCGCTATCTCCCGGTACATGGAACTCGATCGTCTGGAGCTTAATATCAGTTCGGCTAATAAACCTATGTAGGAAAAACACGCGAGTAATATCAGACGCAACGAGATATCGGGAAAACGTAGGATAAGACCGCTGCATTATCTCCAACAGGTCCACAGTGGGCGACCGCTTGCAATTAAGTTCAAGGGCAAATTCCATCATCAAGAATTTACTCTAACTTCTCAGAAAACATGTACACAGAGCTGTTGTATACACGACCCTCCACGGCTGAGTTACGAGGGGGATGAAAAGTAGGGCGAGCATCGTAAAAGAAGTGCTGGCCAAGTTGCATTTCACCTGCTATGTGCCAGCGTTAAGGCTCGCCATTGCAATTTCGTGTATTTATTGGAACTCTTCGGCGGTCGCTCGATCGAGCCGGGGGAAACGTATGTGCTGCAACGTTTCGATGCTTTTACCTCCCTTCACCATCCGTTCTAAACACATTTCCATTCCTTCCCGTCGACGTGCGCTCCCCGATAAATCGGACATTTAATTAACCCAAAGTCCGTGCGAGGTTAGGTTGAACGAGAGAAAGATATAACGGGTAGAAGGTGAAGAGAAAAGGTGGTAGTTAACGGATGTAAGTTTACTTATTGTTAGACGTCGATGGTGTGTAACGGGAAGCTGAAAATACACACGTTCGTCACTGGATTTTATACGGAACGAAGCTCTTGAAATGTTCCATCGAACGAGAGTGAAGTTGCAGCTAACGCGTTGCCTATAAACAAGCGACAACGCTGCACGCAGCGCCAGCCGTATAATTCGGTATATCACATTTGAAACATAATATAAAGTTTCAGGGCAACGAGCAGTTCTACCGGTATTTCATTACCGAGCTCGTTTCGTGTGTTGCTATTTTTATTATATTTCATTCAGATAAAGTTGAAGTTGAACGATTTTACGTGTTTGAATAAAAGGAAAACAAATTGGACGTGATATCTTGTGACGTGCATGGTGAAAGATTGGATGTCGGGAGAAATTAAAATTTTGTTGAACGATTGGGAAGGTTCTATTGGGAATTGTAAATATTATGGGAAATATTTATTTTCTATTCCGTTCCTTCAACGCCAGATTAAGTTTTAATCGATATCCCGTTATTTTTTTATTGTTTTCGATTATATAGAAATATTTTACGTGTTTTTATTTAAGGTTTCATTTCTATCGTGCGTTTTAACGGAGTTTGAAGATATTTGAAACCCGCGTTATTTTTCCTACCACGTAAATGTGTAATTTAATCGTAGAAGACTATATAGACACAGTTTTCAAATGAACTTAACGACGGTTCAACTCTGTTTACATACAAAAAGAAAAAGTAAGGTATGAAACTTGACCCCGATGGCTACATGTGAAGCTTTGTTTGCGGTATTTTATATTTTTAGGCTCCCACGAAAAAATTAATCTCTAACTTTTAACGTTTAACGATGTTATTAAACACGGGATACGATGTAGCAGTATATTTGGAAATTATAAAAATCAAGATAAGGAACAGGTTTGTTTCATCATTTTTCAACTTTTACTTTGTAATATGTAACAAACTCGTGTAGCTTCAATACAAAGTACGTGAAAAATATTTTTAAAAAGTTAAGTTATTCTGTTTGCAACTTTTAGAAATTTGTATTTTTAAAAAATAATAGAATTTAAGGAAATGAAAAATAATTTTTGGAGCTTTGTAAACAAAAAGGACGTATAAAAATATTAATTATATCATCATATTGATATCTTCATCGATACTATATCATAGATAATATTGATAAAGTGATAACACATTACTAGGTTAACTTCCATTCATACGATAAAACTTTTGACAATGTGAAATATGAAATATTCGTTTCCCATCGTTTCATGTAGTTTAAAACTTACTTCCTAATCGCTTAATATACACCAACTGTAGATAGAACTTTAAACACCATGTTATTTAGATATTTGTATGAATGGTCAGCTGTTAGTTATACGAATAATATGGGTGCAAAATAAGAACCATTTTATTTTTTACGTATAGATACGACTCGAATGTGTAGGTAAAGATAGGACTTATGTTTTCATCAAAAGGGTGGGTCATGATGCTAGAGACGACCTGTGTGAGAACTTGAAATAAAACTTGCACGTACAGCAGGCAGATCAGCCTTCTTATTCAAGACGCACCTTTTCCCTGCTTTTGTATTGTTACTTACCCATTCGCCCCTTTCGAGTCAACAAATATACGTCATCGTTCGTACACGCGGTGCATGCTTACGCGCGCGCAACCATCCCCAGATTCAATACCAGCAGCACGCATAACCTAAGCCGTGCACACAGTACGCATATTAAAGACAGACGCTCATACAGGCATTCACGTATCGTTCGGCTGTCAAAGAATATCCTCTCACCGTCGAACAGTATCTTACATCGCTTTCACCCCACCCTTCAAACTGTTTCGCATTTTGACACTTGCCCCCTCCACTTCGTTCGGCATGACTCACACCAGCTCAGCGCAGCTGTCTCATTCTTTCTCACGGATTCGTTACTCACTTGCCGATAATCTCGCAGAGCTCGTAAACCTCGTCGAAGAGAACCTCGTCGTCCGCCATAGTAGCGACGAGGAGGTCGAAGAAGTCGACCGAACGAGGAGGCTATACGCGCCAAAAGGCGCGTCAAAGCTATGCGAATTCGTAATAATTCGTAAGGCGTGCAGATACGCGTCTCTCTCCTCTCGTAGCCTGGGTCGACGGTGCTGTTGTGTTTCGTGTCGTGCCGTGTGGAATACGCGGCGGCGTGAACGTAGCCGCGTATCGTGGATTCACGGCCGCCTTCGTTCTCCCACCCTCTTCTCCCTCTATCTCTTTCTTCCCACCGACAGCAACGAATTCGTTTTCCTCTACGCGCACGTTACGCACATACACACATATATATGTACACAGCCGTGGATAATACACCCGTGTTAGCACGCCCGATTGTCGTCGCACTGGCACTCGATCAGTACACGCGAGTCCGCAACCGTATAGCTGAGTTGTATTAGTAAACCGTACGTAAAATTTTGCACGATGGCAAGGGTGCCAAATACACAACCGACACCGCCTTTAAGCTTTGCCTTACTGTCGCCGGCAAAGACAGCATACACAACTGACGACAATACGTAATACGGACGTTTACACGGTCGTGTCCTGACTCAAGCACGAAGAAAACCGGATCCGGCCGAATCGGTTGTCTCGACGGAGCAGAGTCGGTCGTGCAATTAACAAGACCGATCAGCGAGAAGCGGTCAGACAGACACCGATGTCACTACACACACTTTCCTCGTCTGTCAAAGGCTGGAGGAGTAGATTCACTCGCTCCGAAGCAAGACTGGTTGCATAAAACGCGGCGAGCGACTGCGCCGACCAACTGTCTCTCCTCTGTCCCCTCTGAATACTGTCCCATATGGTGGGGCGGGCGTGGCGCCGCTTCGCGTGCAACCTTTGGCGCTTTAACACGCTCTGTCTTTTGCTTCTTCCCCTCGACAGCAATATTCGCCAAGCGTATGGGACGCTACGATCCAGAGTACCTACAATATTCGTTGATGTTCATTGGGTCGCGTCAAGTACCGACGTACGAGATTGCTCTGACGATAACTAGTGCTGTAACTTATCCAGAGAGCTTGTTTTCTAGGAATACCGAGTTACCATCAAGTTCGTGCTCAATTATGTTACACTTGCAAATACACAAATGCGTAATACAATTTAAGAATAGTTATTGAGTACTTATTACACGACTGAAATAGAATTTAAAAGAGAATTTTATTTATTAATGTTTAAAAATAATTATTTTTCTCGGCATGAACTATTATCATCGTAGATATGTCAATCCTTCGAAAACATCTTCGAGATCTTCTTTCTGCCCAAAAACTGCCAACACTACGATTGCTCTGTTACGCCCCCTGGTTTGTCGTACCGTGTGAGTCCCAATTGCTATAAACTTCAGTTCGTCTTTCAGGTATTTTAAATGCTTATGGTCAAATCCCTTCAAGATTATTATTCTCTGCCTATTTTCATGTAATGTATTAAATAAATCATGTGTCATATTCATTTTACCTCCTTTTTTATAAAAAAGGTTAAGAATTAAATGTACAAATAATTGTTTAAATACAATAAAAATATGAATAATACCCAGTTGCTGTCCAATTATCAACATATTGACATTTCACTTGATCATTATCTAATTTAGAATGAAGGAACATCAAGCCACTTGCGATCTGAAATTAATAAATTAAAATACTATTATTCGTATTATTAACATAAACTTACATCATGCTGATTATTAAATAATCGAACACTACTACACTTACGTTTGCTGCTGCTGTTCCTCGATTCATATGCAAATCGGTATTAAGTATAGCATAAAATAAATATTGTCTTGGACCAGGTCCATGATGAGTAGTGACATGACTCCTCTTGTGATTTTTATTTATTTGACTACCATTTCTATAATTAATGTAAAATACAATTACATGTTATTTTAGTTTTTAAAAATGTTTTACGTTAAACAACGTAATTAATTTATAAATGAATGCTTTTTTATGACATACAAACAAGAACACAATTTTAAAAATCTGCTTAAACCTGTTAGTTATGTTCAATGAGATAACTGTATTTTTATTTGTCCTCTTTTTGTAATATCTTCGTTTGTTTTTCTTCGCATATCTCATTTCAAAATAACTTCTTGAACGAGGAGGAAGTAAATATTTGTTTCTACATTGCAATCTTAATTATTCTCATAATCTATATAAAGAGTAATGTAATGAATGAACATTAAGGTAATATACAAATATTTGTATGAAAGTAAATGAAAGTTCTTTAAGCTGTGGAGATAAATTTTTATACGACGTCTCCAAGATAGGTAATATATGTATTTGTTTTAAATATAATGTGAACATTATTTGTAGTTATGGAAAATGTATTTTATTTATTTATATGATAATATGTATTACGCAATAATTCGGTAATTAAATTTAGTATCTGATGATAAAATTGGTGAAAATTTTGAGGAACAAATATATCAAACCTAGATAAATGGGATGTGGTATCACTTGATGAAAATGCAATGTAGAAAACTGTTTCATCATCTGCCGCACACTGTTTTAGTTCTTTTCCATTCAAATGTGTCCCATTTTAACTGTGGATAGAAAATACGTTTTTATATTAATTTATCTATGATATTCACATGTGACGTAGTTAATCACCAAACAGAGGTTACGGGAAAGTATTTTATCATCTGTTATCGACCTAGTTGAAATTGTGTTTGAAATTCACATATTGAAATCTCGCAAACAGGATATATCGACATTTCGAATAACCGGCAATTTCAGGGTAGCAGTGTAGTGTTTGGTATATTTAGGTTAGAATAGCTATTTTCATAATTAAAAATATTCCTGGTAAATTTAAATGTCATGTGTTTAGTACGGCGTTTTTTGATGTTAATGGTGATTAATATTTGAATGGAAGTTTATTGATTTAAAATAAATTTTTCTTGATAAAACAGTGTATGTCAAACGTTGCCAAAATATCCACTAACTGTTCTTCTGTCAAATGATTTTTATACAATTTTGATAAGAAAAGACAAATAATTTAGATTACAACAATACTAACGAGATATTTCATGCGCTGAAAATGGCCGCGAGTGAACCAGGTGTATCATCACTTTCTAGAAAAGATAATAATTGGAGACAAGATTTAATTTTACAATTACAAGAAAGGAACAGGAAACAAACATATTGTTTTGCGGATCTTATTAGTTTACGTAAGATTTCTTCAGCTATAGTTATTAATATAATCACTTCCACTAATTTGAGTGATATTGTATCAACCTGTTCTTATTATTACATTTTGATACATTAAAATGTTAATAATGTGCATCGAAGCACACAGAAGTTATTTTCTAAAATAAGAGATGTTTAGTACTACTTCTAATTTACAGATAACAGATTGTTTGAGAGTGCAAATACGTTACGTGGAGAAAATATTCAACTAACTATAGCAAATGAAACTCTTCGTCGAGACGCAGCTAGTGGGACTCCTGGGTTAAGTGTAAATGCTGATCTTGAAGCCCGTCTTCTAAAGCAAGCAGAAGAATTAGCAACGTTACATAAAAGGAAAGGAGAGCATACACAACAAATAGTAGATCTTAATAATAAATTACAAGAAATGATAAAGGAGCTTCAAATCAAGGAAACAAGGTATATATTTTTCCTTATATTTGTAGAACTGAACATTTTCCAATACGTATGTGTATTATAAATGTAAATAATTAATTACATTATGTATCCAAAATTTACAGTCTTGCGGAAAATATAGAGCTCAATGCCAATTTACGTTTAGAAATATCTAAATACCATAGTAGAGAAAGAGAGTTAGAAAATATTAATCAAATGTTAAAAGATGAACACCAAGCTTTACAACTTGCTTTTGCATCTTTAGAAGAGAAACTTAGAAAAGCACAGGTATTCATTATGCAATATTACAAAATCAAAAATATTTCTTGATTAATTGTTAATGTATATTACCATAACGTAATATGTTTATTTATTTATTTAAATTTGTAAAACTTTATATATATTTCAACATTTCCAGGAGGAAAACCGTCAATTATTAGATCGTTTGATTAAATACAAAACTCGAGATGCAGAAAAAGTGAATGAAGAAAATGACAACTTCTTGAAGTGAGTACAATATTTATTTCTTTTTCATTTGTCTTTTATGTTAATTGTCCTTTCTCCGTTCATTTATTTTTCAATTATACAAATCAAGATATATTGTTTATTTATTTCTTTATGTAAAGTTTTGTGCAGTTTTTTGATACATATTTCATTATATTATTAAATAAAAAAAGTGGCTGCTTTTTCTCTAAATTTAATATATCTGCAACAGATATTTTTGTAAATATTATCTTATCATTACACATTTTTTTTAAAACTTTATGTCCATGCAAAGGCAGTTTCTTGCTGAATAAATTTCAATTCTATTGTTAATATTCTACTGCCAAATACTCTTTCTAAATTAAACTTTTTTCTACTTGCTTATGGCCTATTTTGTTTCGTAATTTATGCTACTATTACAACTTATTTTTAAATGCTTGGCTAATCGCTCAAATACCTCTGAATTTGAATGCAATGTTTAAAGTTCCTAATTTTCTTTTAATTAAAAATTCTTTAAATTGAACGCTAATATGTATGAATTTCATCGAATAAGAAATTTGTATATATTTATAAGCCTTTCCAACCAAATCATTTCATACCTGTATTATTGCTAATAATACAAAGAATTTGTAACATTATAGCTATTGTAATAAAGGGAACATAAAAAGAATAATATTTCTTTCGTAGATAGGTTCCATATAAATTTTAGAACTTCATTTTGGTGATAATAAGACATATTCTTATTATAATATTTTATCTGAAGAACCAAAAATAGAATATTTGATATATATGCTTTTAAAGTATAATAAATAGAGAACATTGTATGTAGAGTTTATTAAAATAAGCTCTTTTAGAAATAATAAATAAGATGTAGATTTATTAGATTCGTGTTAGGTGTGAGTAATAATTTCATAATATTTTTGTATGTATTTTAATACCAAATATGCCTCTAAAAAATTTTATGTTCATACATATGTTTTAATAGTAATGAATAATAATCGTAGGGCATAAATTGTGCGTAATTTTGCTATCGATCGCAAGATGTGTTATCCACTTGTTAGTAATGCTTGCGTATCATCTGTCGGCAAAAACTCTCACAATATAAAACAGTATATATGTTACAGCCATATATTCATATTATATAAAATAACTATTCGAAGACCGTTTATTGAGAGAAGATAAGGAGTTGACTAAAATTTGCTAATGAATTACTGATTTTCTTTTTAATTAACTTCTTGATAATTTCTTACGTGCGTCAAATATAATATAAATAAATGTTGCGAAAATATTTAAGAATTAGATAAATAATATAACGCTAAAGGTAATGATAAATATACATCCTCTGAAAAATTTGCCAAATGACAAATAAGTCCCACGGAATATTTACTTTAATTTTAATTTTGACATTTATAAGTCCTAATTTTAAGCTCCTGAATGTTATGGATACATTTATGCACCTAGCAAAGTGTTATCAGCGTAAGTCATATATCATGAATTATGTTTGAAACAAAAGATGAAATTTTGTCTGATTTCATATTGTATAAAATTGCAGTATTAATTTAACCATATCGTGTCATGATTAATTGATAAATTGTATAATATGGATGAATCTGGCATTATCAGTAGTGATTATCGTAAATCGCGTATCACTAATGAAACATCCAGAATATTCAATATTCAGAGAGCTAGAATAGTGTAAATGCTTCTCTAAAATTTTTAAGAACCTTTTTAGGAACTAAATTTAATGTAATAGAAATTCAGAGAATTACTTTGTAAGTACAAAGTACCTATTACTGTGATAAAACTACTTTATCTTCAATGACTGCTCTCATTAAAACGAGTATAATATTATGAGCCAGGTTTAGACAAAGCATATTTTCGTATGTTATGATAAGGAAAAGGTTTCTAAAGAATTTCTTAATATAATCTCAGCTCTTATCATATCTCAAATTTATTTCTATTAATATATCGATGTCTTTAATAGATATATGATTAACAGGGTAGTAAGGCTAAAATGCAATAGGAATTTATTGAACTCAGGTGTAGTACTATATTTATATAAGTAAATACAACCTATTTTGTAATTTATCGAGTGTTTTGAAAATAGTTAATATGAAAGTGTTTGTTCATATTTATGTTTTTGCAATTACACCTTGAAAAATTATTTTATAAATTACCACACTATTGTAGAAATTCTTGCATACACTTTTGATAGTTATAGAAATTATGTTTGCATTTACTAGCTTAAAATTTACAAATGCTACATGCACGAAATTTGAAATTATTAATTTGTTATAGCATGATGATATTATATACTAATTTAGAAAGATTTTATTCCGGAGTAATTTGTAACCATTTCATAATTCTCATATAGCATTATCATTATCTACACAAAATATTTTTCCTATTATTATTTCTTCTCGGTTCTTCAAAATTGTTACTAAGAATGTTGCTTTTTGAATTTTCTCTCGAACTATGGCAATGACATTTTTGCAATTAACAGAGCATGAGAATCTTATGTAATCTGATTTTTTCTATTCTTCATAATTTTATTATTAAATTAAAATAAATTTTCTGTAATTTGAAGTTTATCATTTCATAGCTGTCACGCATAAAAAAAAAATGATAAAATCTTGATTATTAGGAATTGAAATATTTTAATAAAATTTAAACAATCGAATCAAGTTGTTAGATATCCAATTAACTTTTCCTTATCAAATATTCATTTTAATATCCTCGTACGTGAAACCGAAAACCTCTTCACTTAAAATTTATATTTATACCTGCATTCGTTAAATTTCGTGTGCGGTTAAAACGTAAAGTTACGAGTGTATTTCACGCAGACTACAACTCGAAACAATGTTGACCGATGAAGTTAATTTATCGTTTAAAAATAAACAATAAAATTAATTATTCGATGCGCAAAGTGCGCCGAAAATTCTGAAATTTATATCATTTTATGCCTCTGTTATTCAGTTTTTAACCACAATACTCGACTCTCTTCTGATGCAGATTAAACACGAGTAATTAATTTCGATCATACCCATTTCCCCACGTAATATTCGATATTTTTGAAAATCACGCGGATTTATTAACAGTAACGTTCATATCGGTTGCGAAACATTTACACCATACATCCTCGCGATCATTATTAAAATTATACGGAAAATGTGGAGGTTTTCACAGAGCTAGAGCAAGACAGAAAGAGAGAGGGTGAGTGAGAGGAAGGGAGAGAAGGCGAGAGGAACACGAGATACCCTCATTGTAGCATTTTACATTAGCACTTCACAATGCTTGACATTTTATTTTCAGTGAGAGTTTTTCCAGTCCGACAGCCTTTTTGATGCATACCATATCAAAATTTGGGTAAGTCTGTGCAAGTGACGTGACAGAAATTACGCTTACCGCTCGATTACAGCTTTGGGTCGTTTAGTAAAAGGAGGCTGATCGTATCACACGTTCGCATATATCCATACCCCTTTTTCGTTTTGTTTGTGCTTTTTATTATCGTATCGTTTGTTATCGTAACGAATTAATACACGAGAGATGGTGAATTTGAAAAAAAAAGAAGCGAGTGAATTTGATAGAAAAAGAATGAGTTGAGAGGCAGTCACGCTTAGACGTTATACCTTGATCATACAAAGATACGTGAGCATAACGATCGTCACGGATAAATCCGACTAATGTAGATAATAAGAAAGAGATGTGAAATAAATATCGAGAATAACAACTAACTGGCAGACGTATATTGTTAATACGAGAGAATAACATCAGCGAGACACTGGTTTTACTAATCGTTCTACTATGCATGATAACGTAACAGCAATACCATGATCGATGAGAGAGGGCATTTTTCTGATATATACTTGGGTATTTATACGCAGCATTATTTCATTCCCCATCGATCCGTTCGATATTCTTCTCCTTTTTATCCTTCTTTTTCTTTTTCTTTTTTTTTTTTTTTTAAATAAAAATTGTGGGCACGTTTGTTCTTCTTTCTTTTTCAGAAAAAGGCAAGCCAAGATGCAAAAAGAGCTGGAGGACGCGGCTCGTGACACCCGACCTGTTAGCCCCGATAGGTCGAGTTTAAAAGAAGGAATCACTGGTCTTCCTACTGCGGTACCGACGAAAGTATCCGTCACGTTTGTACGTTGACAAAACTTTAATTTATGAAATACTTTATATTACGCTATTACTGTGGAAATTTTAGTACAAACGTTTATTAATTCGTTGTAACACGAAAATGCATGTTTTGTATGACGGGATGAGAAAGTCGTTGGATGCAAACGCTCGACGCTTTGATACATGAGAATTCGTATCGTGAGCCAATTACACGGGCATTATTATTTATTTTTTGATTTACTTCTGCATCGATATCGTCGAGATCTCTCACGCAGCGATCTCGGTCATCGATTTACAAACACGTTCGACGTGTCGAAAATGATCGCAGCTCGTTCACGAATTGACCTATTGAAGTATTAACATTATTATATATAGATATATATTTTATAAAGAGAAAAATTTACTTATGCCGTATACGTATGCAATTTATTTTCTTTTAAGCTGTGAGATTTATTCCGAGGAATTGTCTATTTCTTTTTCTTTTGTCGCTTAAACGATTACCGAATTGGTATTAATTTCAATGATATTCATTCATCGTATCGACGTGCATATGCAACATTCGTTTTCGTTTAATGAATACGTATATCTTATACGATTACCAATTTCTCCACGTATGATGTATCTAGAAATCAACGAAGAATAAATACGCTATTCTTATTACTTTTTATAAATGCAGGCGTAAATATTGCCGAGATAAAGTGCTAGGTTGACCGTTAAGTAGCCTTCTTTATAGAATTCTATACGAGCCTTCTCTATACAACAGTGTAATTTTTGTAGAACCAATGTCAGTCGCTATATTAAACTAACCAGGTATCAGGATAATACTGTGTTTGATTTAAGTTAGTTTCTTGTGTTTATAACAATAAGCTACATAATGGGAATATATATACAATTGTTGAATACCTATTATTACCGTTTATAGATCTTGTATTTCTTACATATGCATGTTATGTTACCGGAATATCAATGTACGTGTTACTGTACAATTATGTACTTTAGCGGTATTTAAAAATCAAGTGAAGTCTATCTCTCGTTATGTTCTATGATAGTTGGGTATATGTAAGAGAAACGTATTACTTGTAGTATGCCAGGTTAATGTATAGTTATTAAAAATGTCACGTTATTTAAGTTAAGTATACCTGTTCTATGTTTAGATATATACGAACGTGTTAATATATGAAATAGTGGAAAATATAAATTGAATTATTATACTATCTGAAACGGGAAGAATAATGATGTGGATATTAAATATGTTCTGTGCCGACATACCATGTACCTATATGCTCTACTTTAATACCGTTTATACTACGTTTTTAAATGAGGCCATGTAGTGTAACTCGCAAATGGTAGTTTATTAATACAATTTATTTTAATAAAAATTGTATGAATTTTTCAACCATTTCGCATTTAGTTTTAGAGAGTACGAGCTATCTATTGCACATAAAGCATCGAAATTTAATGTCCTCTATTTAGCAATATATCACAATGAAGCATTTTACGCGGCATACATTATCATAATCATATACGATATGGAATGCGCGTTTTATGCATGAAAATTGCAATTTACATCAGTTTATTTCAATATCTAAAAGCGTAATGGCTCTCACTGTTCATAAGATTCTTTTTCATATATTTTCTCATTACACGGTTCATTTGATCATTATTCGTCATTTACATTATTATAATTTCTCCTCGATTTAAATTCTAAAATATTCAACGGGGATAACGATCAACGCGAATAGAAATACTTTTACCACGAAAATTATGTAAAATCGCGAAATTATTTCCGTTTATTTCCAAGCTTCCAAAATATTACCAAATATCTATCGATTATTTCGAATTTTTTAAGCTACATTTTATCTTCCTTAATGGCCGATGATTTAAATCGAAAACATAATAACGAAGAATTTTAGAAAATTCGAAACGTTTAGTGATTATACAAATTCGAGAAAACTTTTTAATTCCATAGAAGCCTTTCACTCCGGCAAATAACGACGGTCCCCATAAAATTATTCCGTACCCGAACACCTCTCGTAATTCGATCGAACGACATAATTACTCATCGATACGCTTGTAATATTAATTACCGCCCCATGCATGCACATGAACTTTTCAAAATTTATACGCCAAGTGTTTAATAACCCTTGCAGAATGCGCACGACGGAGAAGTTTATGCCGTAAAATGGTCCCCAGACGAGAGGATGCTTGCCACAGGCGGAGCGGACAGGAAAGTGAAGCTTTGGAATATCTCGAAAGGTGATTAAGCGAAACAAAGTCGTAAATATTTATATACAAAGTCTAGGATTGAAATACTCGCCGATAGAATCCGATTAACCAAGGTAAACGATTCCTCGAACGGCTCGTGTTACGCGAATGCCGCGTGCAGGGGAACCCCCGCGCGTGTAATTTGTTTAGCGTTCCCGCCATTATTCGAATTTGTAACAAGCGTCGATAGACCGCGTCAATTATTACGCTCTCGTTTCAGTCGCGAGTCTCGCATGGTTTATCGCGAATTCGTCAACACAGCGGGCCAGGATTAAACCGAATATATAACATAATACCGTAATATATGGAATAGCGTGGGCATCGCCGAGTCCCCTGCGAAATTCGAAGAATAATTTAAACGATTAATCGTGTTCCGCGAACGATACTGTCATAGTAGCTCATCGTTGGCCTAATATCTATCGGGTACAGAATTTCCGTTGTTCGACGAGGCTACGTAGGCTAATCAAGCGATACGAAAGTCACTTTAAAATTTCATTAAAACTTGCCATAATAGAGCAATTAAAACTTTCCTACCATCTTTTGTTCGCGAATACGTGCTCGAGAGACTTCCCCTTTTGGACAACAAAGAGGGAGCTATAGGACGTAACGAGTGAGCTGTTATTATGTTGTAATTCGGTAAAAAGTTGCTGAAAAGGGGGAAAATATTTACAACTATTGAATTTTATTCTCGCTCCATTGTGAGCTACTCGTAAAGCGGTGACGTGACTTCCTGCATTTTTCTTCGGCTATGCGAAGCGTTGTACGTTGAGGTCATTACACAGGATGTAAGAGTGGATAGGTGTCGCGTGCATAGAAATAGAAGATGATGAGTCAGCCGAACTTTGCATCGCTCTCAAAAGGCTCTTTTCTGCCACGGCGAATGAAGTATGTTAACGAATCAACAGGTTACTCGCGATGCGTTTAGCGTGCAACCGTGTTGCAACGACGCGTTTATTAAAGTCCTGTCCGCGGCTAGAAACGCTTTCCCTCCTATGGCCGAACGATCACACGTGCTATAATGTGCTTAAATGTAATCTCCTCGCCATGTTGCAAATTGGATGAAACATCCGTTCTTATTGTTCCGGTTATATCCGCTTAACACGTCTCTCTAACCGTTTCTCGCGCGTATGCGACCTCGTCGTCTCGTTGCGTTCCTATTTTTATACCTTTTTCAGCCCGATGTCAATTATCTGAGAATTAACGAATTACTACCTCTATTTCTTTACCATTGAATGATTTTTCCTAGTTTTATTATTAATTTCCAATTTTGTATTATTATTTTAGTATCTCATTGCTTGGATATATTTTCTAGCTTTTATTGCTAGATATTAATAATTATTATAATTATTATTATTATTTAACGAATTGCTACCTCTATTTCTTTATCATCGAATGATTTTTCCTAGTATGAATAATTATTTTTATTATTAATTTCCAATGTTGTATTGTTATTTTATTATCTCATTGCTTGGATATATTTTCTACCTTTTATTGCTGGATATTAATAATAATAATTATTATTATTATTTAACGAATTGCTACCTATATTTCTTTATCGTTGAATGATTTCTCCTAGTATAAATAATTATTTTTGTCATTAATTTCCAATTTTGTATTATTATTTTATTGTCTCATTGCTTGGGCGTATTTTTTAGCTTTTATTGCTAGATATTAATAATAATTATTATTATTATTTAACGAATTACTACCTCTGTTTCTTTATCATCAATTGATTTTTCCTAGTATAAATAATTATTTTTATCATTAATTTCCAATTTTGTATTATTATTTTATTGTCTCATTGCTTGGGCGTATTTTTTAGCTTTTATTGCTAGATATTAATAATAATAATTATTATTATTTAACGAATCGGTACCTCTATTTCTTTATCATCAAATGATGTTCCCTAGCATAAATAATTATTTTTATTAATTTCCAATGTTATGTTATTATTTCAGTATCTCATTGCTTACATGTATAAACATATTTTCTAGCTTTTATTGCTAGATATTAGTAATTATTATTATTTGTTTTCTATTATTAAGTTATTGGTATTTTATTGTTCTATTAATTTCTTGATGTTAATTATTATTTCGATAGTTTCTTATTCGAAAATTCGTTGGTTCTATTTTTTATTCTTATCCATATTTCATACTAAATTAATAACATCGCGTACCGTCATGTAACTTATATTTCTCCCCGAAATATATTGCAGTAGCTTACGTGGTATAATCTTCGTGGTTGGAATCGGTTGAAGGGAAGAAATGTGCGAGGAATATGTCGGGTTAAAAATAATCGACGCGTGAGAAATAGAATTAGAATTGGAAAGGAGAGAGGAGAGTAGAAATTTATCGTAAACGTTACGTTGCAGGTGCCTCTGAGAGCAAAGGTATCCTGGTTGGCAGTAACGCTGGTGTGATGTGCGTCGATTTCGACTCAACGGGCACCCTGATCCTCGGAGCCTCGAACGACTATGCCAGCCGCGTGTGGACTGTCAGCGACTTCCGGCTAAAGGTAAGTGGCGAACTTTGCATGTAGCTGATCTTGCAAGAGAACGCATATATAGCGGAAATCTTGCCGATTGAACGATCATCGAATCGCTCGGTTATACTCCACGTGGGAATTTCCTCGTTCGAATACCCAACAGTGCGTTAACGCCATGGCATTAACTATGGCGATTATTCAAAAATAATTTATCCCAATCCTGAAATCACGTGGAACAAAGAAACACATCTATACTTTACAAAAATACCGCGCAGTCTGCTGTCTAAATAATTAAAAATAGGACTAAAATGAATTAAGTCAGGTAATTATTATTTAAAAATTATTTCGCACACGATTGGCCCCGATTTAATCAGGTCAAGTCGATGCATCGAAGATCATATCGTAAAATTTATTATGGTTTATTACGGAGAAACAATGTAGTTACACTGGGACAATTTCGCTCCCTAATTTCATTTATCGTTGCACGTCTATACGTCATGCTACATTGAAGAAGCTCGGGATAAAGGTTGCATTAGAAAAGAGCAAGTAGCCGAGGTAACCAGACGTGCTTATCTTTCTCTTATGAAAATATGATTGGTTGGCTGGATATGTCCTAGGAAGTTTGGCTGGCTGGATATGTCCTAGGAAGTGTATAAACAGATGCCCAGCAAAACGCGCATTAAATTACAAGGGCTATTTCGAGGCGAGACGGTCTGTGAATCTGCCAGCACTAGAATATGAAATTTATCGTCACCTTGCTGGACGACCTATTACGGCACGGCTCATGTAAATTTGCTGGCGAGAGATCGTAAAGCTAATGACGATTCGCAAAAAGCATTCCAACAGGATCGTTCCATGAAATCGTTCGAGGACCTAGAGAGAGTCACCCCTTGACGCGTTCGCGCGGTCTTCTTGGGGCTTCTCCGTAATCTCTCACGGAAGAATAATACTGTCCCCTTTCGTCGATCATGTCGATATTCTCTCATCTAAAGTTTGTCCCAGTTTTGTTCTCCGTCGACTCTTGATATCGGGCAGGAACTGAAGAAAGTTTCGCGGTTATCTTCCTCGCTGTCCTGCCTCCCCTTTTTCCTCTTTGTGCGCTTCTCCCGCGAGATCTCGTTGAAAGGAAAGAAGTCATCAGTGGAATGATCCTTTTTTCTTCCACGTGTCACTCGAGAAACGTCGGTACCGAGATGAAAGAGATGCGTGGAGCAGTCAGAGGTCTTTACTCAAGCATCGATTGCTTTCAATCTCGGTCAGCAGTCCCGTCCTCGTCGCCATACTTTGTTATCACGTCAAAATGGCGGGTCCGCGCGCCGACATGGAACAACTTACGACGGTTGCCGGGAAGTTTATAAAGCGGCTTGAGATGCAGGCAGAGAAAGGTTCAACGCGAAATCAACGATATTGTTCAAGGTTTTTACCGCGCCTTTGATGTCCTCTGAGCCTCCATACTCGGCTGAGTGTGATATTGGAAATGTTACAGTTTAATGGGTTAGTATGGCTCAGTTCTTCCCTCGTATTTGATATTCTTCTTGGAATACTCCAGTCTGCCAGAAGCTTTTTAGTTTTCTCAGTGTAACAGATTTATGAACTTTTTAATTTAAATCACGTGGTCAGGGAAATATATATATCAAATATATATAATTATTATTAAAAGTTTTAATTCAAATTTTTAATACTATCAATCACTATACTCGAAAAGGGAAAAATAAAGTGAAATTATAATTAATACTATATTTAAACGAATTCGTGGTTGTCGAAGGTAATTTTTATACTTATTTCATTTAATTATAGTATTACATAATACGTGGAACTTGTGTTTTCTTCAGTTAGATTAGGTATGGAATACAAAGAGCATGAAAATATTTTACGAATGAAACTACATAGAAATAATTTGAAATTTAAGTAAAGTGTGATCATTTTCAAGCGATCACATGTCGATAAACAATAAAATTTGTGTTGAATGCCTGGTATAAGGTCTATTTTTAATTTCAATTTATATATCTTTTTATTAACTTTTGTTGATAAGTATACAAATAATCAAACAGTATGAAACCTTCAAACAACGTGGTATTGCCAATATTTTTACATTATTCTACATTTCCATTAGCTATATCATTCCAAACCCATCTAACAAATAAGCCAAACCACAGATCAAAGCGACTGTTTTTCGAATTTTCAAAAATTTTACCAAAGCTCTCCATTCAAAGTGAACGTGTATTTCTTCTTTTCCGAATAAATCGATGTTCAAAAAGACAGGATCACGCAATCCTTCGTGAACACTAACTCGTCAAGCCAGGACTCCAATTTGTCCGTTTGCAGCAATCACATAGTAGACACTCAGTCATCAAGAATACTACGAGCATGTAACAAGCGCGAGTGTACCCGACTCTCTTAAGATTGGTCGAGATAGCGTGACTTTACAATTCCATGACATACTTGATAGCACGTTTCTAAGTTGCATTGTTAGCTTCCAGGTTGCTTGCTATGCGGTAATATCGCCATTTATAGGCGCCGTCGTTGCCAATGGAATACAATGTGTAATATATCCGTATGAAGGACGGTCAGTGTATTGTTCGCGTATCGTTTGACATGCTAAATGTGATTATTCGTCGCCCTGGGATCGTGACTGTTATATACGGCTATTTCATCCTCCCGTTTCTCTTCCCTTCGATTCTTCTCTTCTATTTTTTCCTTTCCTCTGCTCTCCACCTTCTGACGCATTTTTCCCGGTTCCCAGGTCCTGTTCTCCAAGCAGGTCGCGTTGAGAATCCACTCAGTGGAGGCAGTTTCATTCTAAAGATTGGCGGCCAATGGCGCGTAAACTTGCGAGAAAACACGCGAACTCTGAGGGATTCGAGGCGTAGCCGGCCACTCTGGGCTATTCACGATGAAAGGTGCGAGAACTGACCGCCCGATGTTTATTCTTCTCTCTGCCTCGTCTTCTCTGCTCTTCTTTGCTGCACGATGTTTCGTTGAACAGGAACCCTTGATCAATTTCTTTACGTTCTGGACCAGAGTCTCTCTCCCCTAACTCCTCGGGTAGCTGCTCGTGTGGACACATGTGTGACCACGTCTCTCCGTTCCGGTGAATTACAGGAGCTCCTTTTATGCCACTCGTCGACTTACGACGTCCGCCATGGCGTACGTTACTCCCAGTCGCTCGAGCAGGGGAGAAACTGGCGCAATTACGGAATTTCAAAATTTTTACTGGGGGATCGAATTGTCCTTTAAGGACGTGGAGTCGTTCATAGTTAGACTCTATTCGACGTGGTGTAACAGATGCGAATTTATTTATAATCGGGAAGAAAGTGTCGGTTGCAAAGTAGGGTTGAACAAATTCTTTTAAATATACGTAGTATCGCGAATTTTCCACCACGTACACGTAGCTTTACGAAGAAGTAAAGCCCAGGTGAATTAGGAAAAACCTTGGCCGATACGTCGGATCCTTAACCCTTTGGCCACGTGTGAGGCTCGTGGTCAGGTTGTCGGGTCGAAACTGATTATCACGAGTCTGGCACGTGGTACATCGTTCGGGTCGAAATTGATTATCACGAGTCTGGCACGTGGTACATCGGTCGGGTCGAAATTGATTATCACGGGCCTGGCACGTGGTACATCGGTCGGGCCAAATGTAAACACCACGTGTCACGCCCATGGTTTGTGATGTGTAAGTAACTCGTGTGCGATTGGTACAATTTAAGACAAATTTGCCGAGTCGTGGAATAGCTCGAAGTCTCGGCAATACTGTTTATATTTTGGGACTACGCTGTTGAATGCATGGTGGGAAAGATATGTAAAGAAGGTTAATAGTGGTCGGAGGACAGTTTTAGTTATAGACGATTAGTTGTTGCAAACTGAGTTGTTATCGAGTTGTGAAGTTGAACGCTGTATTAACCCTTTGCACTCGAGTGGTGACCCTCAGTCACCATTTCATAAAATTTGGAAAATCGACATTAATTAATATATCAATTTTAATGCAATGTAACAGTGTGTCAGGTATCGAAATCAAATAATTCTACAATTCTATTATTATTACTTTATTTACTGCTCGAAAAATTATCGTCAGTTTTTTAATAGAGAATCCTTGATTTTCTACTCTTCTCTAGCCAAAAAATCGTCGAGTGCAAAGGGTTAAATTGAAAACGGACCTAGATTCTTGTAAAGAGATAATTCGCATGTTTAATCTCCACTCGTGTACAGTTATAATTTATTAATAAATTAACACCACCGTTAATCCCTACATATGTAAATTGTATTAAATCGTTTAATACATGTGTATCGATTATAAATGATTGTTGGTACGTGTTTGCTTTTACAACGGTTTAACGTGGACTGCAACTGGTTCACTCAAATAAGGGAACGAATACGGTTTATAAACATTTCTCCTTCAATCCTGGATTTTTTGGGGCATTTTCCTTTATACTTTTTCGTAACGAGAGGTAGAGAGATAGAGCAGGGTTGAAAGCCATGGGTTATCGTCCTTTTTTCTCTGCCAGGTTTGGCTTTTTGGGGTGGTTTGGCTAGCCTCTTTCTCTGTCTTTTCTCTTCTTTTTCCTCCTCTACCTCACACGCTTCCTAAATTTTATATTTCTCGCCAGACCCTTGTTTGTCACCCTCCTGGCAGGGAAACGATGCGTTAAACGAATATCGATGGTATTGGAGGGTACCTGGCCAGAGCGATAATGGACTCAATTTCGCGGCAGTAGGGCGCCAGTCGTTTGGATTTCTCACGTACCCGACACGGTATCGATTCCCTGGCGAAGCCCTCAGTGATTTCCTGGTCGTTCGGCATTGTGAAATCGCCATACCTTTTACACGTTCCGCCAACAGAGGTGCAAGCCCTCGCATTTCTTTTCACGTGCGGTTCTTTGTTCGCGATTGTAAATAACAGCCGAGCAACAATAACACGAATCCCTTTTAATCGTGACCAAACCGTGAAAGTATTTTGTATCTGAATCGGGTCGGCTTGATCAAAGGGGGTGAAGCGACTTTTGATGCCGCGTTTCTATGCAAATCGCTTTTAA